TGTGTGCGTGTGTGTGTGTATGTCACAGGAGCCGGTCCAATGACACAAATGAAGGTAGATATGGAGCCATGGTCTGCACATTTTTCAAAGGTAGACAACACAATTTCATAAAACTGGAGTAGCCTTATATAAATATAGCACCGGTTTCACTGGGATCTAAGAAGAAGAAGCTCTAAAAACTGCTGTAACGGCTCAGATTGAGTTGAGGAATTGATAATGAGCTAGGTCTGGTATCTCTGCTTTACTACAGCTATTATACACCAGAGTAATGCTTAAAGCATCTGCTGAATTTCACTGTGCAGTGTTCGCTGATTGTGTGTTTGCATGAATGTGAGCAATAATATGCCACTAATGTCCATATTTTTCTAAATTACTGCCTTAACAGTTATTCAAAAATAATACTGAGAGGTGCTGGCCAGCATGAAAGCTGGAAGCATGGGCTTCAAAATGTGTAGATCTGTGACCGCTAAAAAGAACCAGAGAGGGGGAACGGACCCCTGCAAAGAGCGCTGCTCTGAGGAACTGAGGTGGAACAGGCTGTGGCTGTGTCGGTGTGTGTGTTGTGTGTATCTGTGTATGTGTCTTGGCAAATGGCTACAACTCTTACTAGATAAGACATCATGCTCAGACAGAAGGGCCCCCACACAGATTTTAAAACAGGGGTAAGGAAAAGGTGGAGAAAGAGGTGGAGGAGAGGTTGTTTAAAAAACAAAATCCTCAGTTTGCGTGACTCTCCTGTTGCTGGTGTGTTGTTTCTGTTATTGTTGGTTCCAGTTTTTAAACCACATACTGTAAATGTGATGTTGGAGAAATGCAGATTCCTGACAAGAGGACTCTCCCTCCATCCTTCCCCTATAAAAATGATGTCCCTTCCCATCTTCCGGTTTGCCCCAACTTCCTTATCCCTTTGCGTGGTGGCAACTGTGTTTCACACTTCCTGGTCCTCGAAGACCTCCAGGAAGAGCGGGGGGAAGAGTTCGTTGGGACACTCCACCTTCATGTGAAGGAAGCGGCTGGCGTGGCAAGCCCCGATCATCCGCAGGTCTGTCACCTTCATGAGGAGCTTCGGCCAGAAGTGGGGAATGTTGTGCTTGCGGTAGTTGATGTAGTGCTCAAACGCCAGCAGGTAGGTCTCCTGGCACTTCTCGATCTTGTCCATGCAGGTCAGGCCAGAACGATCTGGTGACAGGAAGAGTGGAAGGGAGGGAAAAGACGGGAAAAGATAAGTGGCACATTTAGGAAGAGGGGGAGGAAGAAGATATGGAGAATGAGTAAAGGACAGAAGGAAAGGTAGAAGAAGAGAGGAAGGAAGTAAGGAAGGAAGATGAAAAAATGAGAAAATGAGTAAATAAACATTCATCAGCTCAATGTAATTAAGACAAAATGTCAACATTCTGGCAGGAAACTGTGACCGTCATTCAGCTCAGTGAACACTTTCATGTGTTATTATAGACAGTTAATATAATTGTACTGTCATGACTAGAATGCAGCTTCAAATTCACTTATCATGTCTGAATCCATTATCAAATCTATTTTGCTTTCATCATTTCTAATCAACAAATTTAACAAATGTTATAAATAATTGAATATAGAGATAAAACTGGAGGATTTAACGGATATCAGTATTTGACAGCTGTGAGGGGAAATATACTGCATTTCTGAGTGGTAACCTAATTATTGTTCACAATGACAACATACAAAGTAGATCTGAGATGTAACAAAGGCCTAGTCACACCAGAAAGTAGCACAACGAAATGAATGGCACATCTTCAAGATATATGTGGTTTTAGAAGTTTGGTGACGTAGTGAGTACTCGCAGGGCTAGCTGGATAAATACTGTAGCTGGCGAGCTAAATGCTAACACAAAAGCCAGCCGGGAACATGGTCAGCTGTAGGCATTTTGTTTCATTCGTTCAATAAATTGTTGCTGAAGAGGAAAAAAGCTCCCAGAAATAGCAAGCTTGCTAACCGCCAGGTAGCAATAATGCTGTCAGTTAGCTAACTTGTTAGCTATGGGACATTAAGTTCACACCATATTCAAAAGAGGTCTTTGTACCGTCCACTTCTGTCAACTGTCTGCAACCTCTTTTGTGGAGCAGCTTATCAGTGGTTAAATGAAGGTGAATGGTGCAACACCAGTAATAAGCTACAATAGCTTCCTCAGCACTGCTAAGACAATTAGGTTTTGGTTTTGGTTAACTGTGTGAAAGTTAACCAAAGCTGGCACAAAAATGAATGATCACAGCAATTTCAACAAATGAACAGATTTCTCTGCCAAATTTCACAGATGTGACCGGGCTTTAAGATGAAAAGAAAAACTCAACTAAAAGAATAATATAAAATTATTGGCACGAACAAATATTTTTTTATACATAACTATGAGAAAATCTGTGGATACCCTGAGAATGATTAAATTGCACATCCTCCATTTATTTACATCCATCATTTTGACGTTGATCATATTATGTGATATGTGTCCTAAAACTGAACGTGTGAGAGTTTCTACAATGAACAAACCAAGAGTGAAGGCTTTTTAATCACATCTGGGATTAGTTTTAGATCCCCCTTTCAACACTGAATATGTATGTGGACTTTTATCTTCAGGCCATAATTACATTTTGATTCAAAATAAGCTACACTATATGCTGTGTAAAGCAGCGGCTAATGACTAGGAATATGGACTGTGGTGGAATTGTGTCTCAAAGGACACAGAGGACAGAAAATTTACATTTACATTACATTAAGCTCAAACTGCTAGACCACCAATGTTATGAGCAACACAGAGCAAAAGCACTGGCATGCAGCTTGAAGCTTTACAAAAGAAGTTGAAAGTCAACAACAACCTGAGCTCATGAGCAGCACGGCCTGCAACAGCGCCACCTCAGTGTCATCCAGGTTGAACTGTGCCAGGTTCTTTCCCAGATCGAAGATGGCGTCCGACACCACGCCCAACCCGCCGTTCTTCAGCTGCTCACGCTTCACAGCCATCTCCCCACTCAGCGTCAGTGTCTCACTCTCTGGGTCGTAGCGCATTGCGGCTCGCAGTGACATGATCTCCATGCAGCAGCCCTTCAACAGGATGATCTGGTCTTCACAAGGTAACTGGTGAAAAAAAGGATTTTTAATGTTTAATGCAAGGTTATTCTTATCTCAAAACAATTATCATATTGCATATAATTCAACATATCAAGGCTATAAAGACCAGAGAATCATCTTTACAAAGATCTTCCAAATGATGGAAGATAATTTCACCAAACTTCACATTTATCTAATCATAAAAGTTACCATTTCTTTTAGAGATACTGGGGATGAAACAATTTAAAACATTTATCAGAGCAAATCAGGTATATACAGACACCAAAATAAGTTCAAAGCTTTTATTTTAATTTCTAAAAGATAATTAAGTATATATTGGTCAATATGACTTTACTTGACACGGATGTCTAGCATCAGCAGATACTGAAGTATAATGACTAAGACTGGGGGCCATTCGACACTGTTTCCCTTGTTTTTTGTAAAAGCCACACTTGTGATCGCTCGCCCCAGTTCCCCATATTCTAAACATTATACATATGCATCGATGCATGCTCATGGAAGAACAGCAGAACCAAAATTCAGGAACTGATCTGTGTTACATATTTGGAACTAATTCAGATTCAAAAGCAGCTATTGCAACCAGTCTGCTCATCGGCCTGCTCATGTTTATTGGAACATTGTACTTCTGTTTTAGTTGTGTTGCTATATTCTCACATCTCAGAGAATCAGAAGAAAAGTTAAGAAGGAACGAAAGGGGTGCAGAGGAAGCGATGGGAGGAAGAGAAACATGACGATTGGTTTAAAAGAGCCAGACATGTTTTTTCACTGATGCACGCAGATTATGACTAATACACCCTGATTTACATGAATATTAGAATCTCTGGGTTGAAACCGATTTGATTAAATCTACAGACTCTGATGTGCTGAATTAAATCTCACCTTAATGTAAGCTTGTTTCTTATTTCGCTCTTGACTGCTGAGTAGATTAATTGGCATACATTGGCTTGATTTCTCTTGTAAATTTGTACCTGGGGGCATGCTTAATTTTTAGTGGCTTGGTGAGTGCTGGCTTTGTTTCTGTGCATTCTTATCAGTAATTCACTGCAGTAAACAGACTTCATATAGGCTAAACAGGTTCTCTCTCTCCATTTCTTTCATCAGATTAAAAAAAGGCTTCTTTCACAATATAATCTATTATACTGTGACTAAAAGATAACATATTAAACATGACTGATTATCTGCTTCAGTGTCTGGAATACTAAAAGGCTGTGTCCTTATCTGCTACTGTATAGTTTCTGATATCTCTAAAATTAATAGAATATCCAGCAGCAGCATGAGGAATTTATTCTAGTTTACACACTCATTTGAATAGTAGTATCCATCACAATAGTAACGATTGTATAATGAAAGAATAATCTTACTTTAAAATATGCTAATTGAAAAAGTGACGACCTTTACTTTCAAAAGTATCTCTGATTTATGTTCTCCAAAATGGTAATAGATTACAGTAACAACTTTTCCTATCCTGTAATTCATTACAGACTCCCACTTACAAAGTTATTCCTTCTTTCTAACACAAACACACATGCACACACACTGCAGCTGTCCCTCTAGACAGTAACTCTGCTACCCTGATAATTATCCAATCACACAAGGTCTCATTACTGAGACAAGAAACATGATTACATGTTGCTAATTAAGGCGGGGCCGACTGGAGCAGAAGTGCTTCTCTGATTGTCACCAGCAACAAAAGCTGCTTTGGGGTTTAATTTCCAAGCCAGACACGCATTGTGAGCGCTACAGCAAAGTGTAAGTGATCAGCATATTAATCTGCAGCCTTGTATTTTTCTATTAAACAACAGAAAGATTTAGAAACACTTTTTTCCACAGTATACTGTTAAGTTGTAAAGACTGGTCATAACTCTTGTTCCGCATGCCTTTGTGGTCCTCCTCTAGTAGGGGAACTGCTAATTCTGTTAGACAAATTCACCTCCTAAATCACACATTTCTTCAACGAACGCACACTTACAGGATGACAGAAGCTTGGCTGTGTCTGCTGTGTGTTACAGTTCTTTTTATCTGTCAGACTCCCACACTCACCCTCTGATCCTCAAGACCATTAACCACCACTCACCTCAGAGAACATGGGCAGTTTTTTGGCAAAGTCGACGACACGGGTGATGGCAGGAGTGATGATCTTGGTGAACTCGCTGAAGGCCTCCAGGTCCACCTTGTCTCCGTCAGACGTGGGCGCAACCGGGGACTGGCCGATTTTGTCTGGCTATAAGGGGAGATGAACGTAGGTGTCTGATTAGAGCACAGTCGAACATGACATTAGACATCAGCAAACGAGCCTCTTTGAATAGAGGAGTAGGTTATGGGTATAACATTTTTATTTTTGTCAGCACGTCCCAACAAACTGACAATGAACTGATCCTCCTAATACATATTGTCTCTGTAGCCAAAGCCTGATATATCTTATTCCTGTGTGTCATAGAGCTCCACTGTTAAACAGTTAAAAACGCATTAATGAGGCACACTGTTGCAATGGGTGACATGTTCTTTCATCAGAGTGAATAAGGGCACTGTAGTTTATTTTGAGTCAACCCCACATACACACATCCTGCTGCTGTAAATACACACTAGAGCACCAAATGTGTATCAATCCACAGCTGAAATTCCCCAACTAATGCACTCTTTACTTAATTTAGCCCTGTTTGAGTAACATCGGTGAAAAACTACAGTGCCCAGCTTTCTTTTAGGTGATTATTGAGGCCTTTTTACAAATGAAACTAGAACTAGATTTGTTTTTAAAGATGTATTGTTTAAATACAACATTAAGGTGCATATACCATGATAGAGCAGGAGAGGAGAGCATGATTAGAACAAAGTGTAGAGCATTATGATGTGATGACGAAAGAGTATATTAGAAAAAGTTGAAAGTATTGGTGGGTTCTTAGGATTGAAGATCACAAAAGAATAAAATAAGATTTAAGAAGAATTGATAAGAATGGTGAAAGGGATTAGAGTAAAATATAGCAGAAGCAACACAGTTTTAACTAATTAAGACCGGATGCAACATTTGTGTGTCGGTTTTATTGCCTTTTTATTCCTCTCTAACTTCCACTCACTTGCCTTGGGAGACAAATTAAAACCAATTTATCAGATGAGGACGGCAGATTGTGCTCTGGGAAAGGAATGGGACATGTCACCAGACAGATAATGCTTACTTAGAGGAGGACTGCAGTGGGGAACTGCAGATCAGTAATACATATGTTTACAGAGTTGTGTGAATCGAGGCTGTGACTATGAGAAATATTGTTTCACGCTCCACTGAATAAAGCATGTGTCAAGGCCGAAGTCATTTATTCAGGCTGGGCTTCAACAGTAAATGGGATGAGATAAAAGTATAGAAATAATCACCTTGCACAAGGTACCATCAATCATAATCCAGAGAGAGATGGATTGCGCAAGTTAGTGCGAACCTAGCCAATCCTTTGCTGTGCAACCGAGAGCTGAGCAATTATGGAAAATTTAAATAATCGTAATAATAACGTTGATGGACTGAACCTCTTGTCATTAGAGAGCCAAAACAAAGCATTGGTTTCTCTGGTGGAGGTCAGCGGCATTTTTCATTTCAGTGTTGAGTAAATAGCTCTCCAGAGAGATACAGAGAGAGCAGCTGAGGTTCAGAACTGCTGAATGCATGCCACACTGTCAAGTGGAGAAGCTTGAAAACAAACCGCGAGACAAAGCCAGCACAGGGTCAGCTGCGTGTCACGAGTTACAATTGAGATGAAATAAATATGGCGTTTAACTCAAACCTGTTAACAGCGTTGCTTTTAAACAGTTTTGGAGAAACACATTTTCTCCCTTACTTCCAGTGGCTTTGAGCCATGAAGATGTTTTGGTTTTATTTGTACAGGTTTTTGAGATATATTCAAGATTTCTGCATCGATCCCAATACAACAGAGGTGCTGACAGAACTGAAAAACAGCAACATGTCTTTCCAGAATCTCTCAATAATCCACAGCACTCCTTGTCCACACATGTTTCATAGGGACCATTTCTTCAGTAGAATGTAGTCATTAAAAAGCAGTTCACAGTGAAGTCTCTGGATTACCCAGATTAATGGGGGCATAGATTCTGGAAACAGTTGCTGTTGAATTTTTTTTTAAATGTCATTTTCAATGCAAAAACCAGCAGCAGGAATCTCAGAGACTGATATCTCCACGCCAAGATTTTGCTAACTGAACGTTCTGCTAGGGCTGCAACTAACTTTACTACCATTTATCAAAAAAAAATTCTTATCCTTCAACTTTGTAAGAAATTTAAAGAATTTTAATCTCAGGTGTTGCTGGAGCTCTGATACTTCTGATACAGTTGCTTGAAGCACATGTTAGGGATTAATTTAAAGAAAAGTATTTTAATTAATTTAACAAATGTAACAAAAATGTCCATTCTAACAAATGAGGCTGAAGAGGAAACATGCTGCGAGATAAAGTTAGATAATGCTACGTAAACTATACAGGCAATCAAAACCCCATCATAACATAATGAGGTGCCAGAGGAGAGGAAGCCTCCAGACTACCATGATGGGCTTGGTCTTATGTAACCTGGAGACAGTGGCCAGCTGTCTCCAATTCCTTAATGGCCTCTAGCTCCACCCAACAAGGAACCAGCAACACTGAGAGACAACACACACACAACACAGCAACAACACATACAAGCCGTGGCAGTGGCCCTGGAGCCGCTATACTGGAAATATATTTGTGCTTGTGAATGTTTTCCACATCTCAGGCCTGTGGGGGCTTCATATGCGCTTTCATATAGACTAATGTGATTTTCCTGCAACTGTTAATGTTTGTTTATTAACTGCATGGCCATCTGGGTGACACTGAGGGGAAACATTTGGTGGCAGTATACCCGCAGAGCTGGAGAGGAGTTATGTCTTTGCTGCTACACAGGCTGGTTGGTCAGAAAGACTAAATATTGTGAGATAGCATGAAGCTAAGCTCAATGTGGAACCAGCTCTCCTAAGAAACTATTTTTCTGTAATGTATAGGGAGAAAAAAAGAAAAGAAAACGCTTGTGATGTGTCCCAAAAGAGGCACAAGATATTTCGACATTGACATGAATCCCGGTACACACTGGGAATTGGGAATTGGCAATGGCAAAACCGAGGGGGGGGGGGGCTTTTTTACTGCAGTCTCATCAGTTATG